ATCAAAATCTAACAAAAACACTACTCTATTCCGAAAGAATATTATTCCGAAAATATATTATTGTTCTCCATGTTTTCTTCATTTTCCACATTAATGGCAACCTCTTCAAAACCTAAATTCACAAGGAAAACATAATCAACTTTCAAATATTAAAAATTTTAGTGCATTAAATAGAATAAAACAATAAATTCTAATAGAATGTGATATACATTCAAATAGAATATAACTATAATTTCTACAAACCAACATTAACAATCATCCCTAAACTTGCCATGTATATTATTATGAAAGAATGTAGTGTTTCATTATTTAGGATGTTATTCCATAAAAATCGAGACTAATAACAAGAATATAAACCAATTTTATTCTGACAGAATTGGTTACAGTAATTCACTGCTTAAGTTGACAAAGAATTCAAGATTCTATTCTGACAAAATTAGAATTTGATATTCCATTCTAGCAGAATGATTGACATCAAGATGCATTAAAAAAACCTAGATTTCAACTATGCATTTTATTCTATCGCCCAACACCGCGACCAACAGACCCCAAGCTAGGCTTACATCCAAACTTTGAAGGTCACAAACCTGCTCACTCCTTCCCTAAACTCGGAAAACTGAAAGGGGAAAATCCCCACCAAAGATAGCGACATACCAAATTATCAATCAACCATTCTACTCCTAACTGCAATTTCCAAGCGATCATAACGATCGTTCATTCTTGAGTCCCGTAATTCGAATGCACGGCCTCGAGCCAACTCCCTTGAGACCACGGTACAGATCACTACAACAACTAAACAACCGCACTAAAAATACCCACTAGTACGGGCCAAATATTACCTTCCACACCTATCTATACTTTCCTCAATGTTCATCTTGGGTCCTCCAACACCTACTCATAATACTTCCCAATACCACTCAACAGCGAAACAACTGCACTAAAAATACTGCTAGGTTCTCCTAGGATCCCCCACCTCCCCTGCCATCAGCTGCTGAAGAACTCCGATCAATGTCAGCCAACCACTTTATGAATACATCTACATGCAACAAAACTTAAATAATCTTTCGACTAAAGGACCCAAACCTACAACGGTTAGACTCAAACGAGAGCTGGGAAATAGGGCCGAATCCTTCACTCTAAGATTATTTAACCTTAACGGCATGTAACTTAGTGTATTCATTTGATGGTCAGTTCACATCAATATGAGTCCCACAAAACACAAAGCAAGAAACATTCAAGCAGTGGAGTCGACCGGCACTAAGACACAAAAAATCAAACAAATCCCCATATGAAATTCTCGATCCCCATCTCCCAACATCTCCAATGAACCTTTGACCTGCCCTCACTCTCTCAAGAGTGGCTGATCATTACTTGCACTGACCCGCGATGCACTACACCCAACTCATGAAACTTCCACCAACCCTGCAGCACTCGTATATGCTAGTCATAAATAACATTGGATCCTATAGACAGTCGAATACTTGATCGTACCCTAACCCCTTTTGTCAAACAAGAACATGAAATAAGGCCAAACCAGACACTCTCATGCTATAGAATCTTAGTTATGTATAACTATGATGCATACACTAAACAACTACAGTAATGATGTCAAATTCATAAAAGGAAGATCCTAGGCTATTAGGCATCATATAATAATGCAATTCTATCATGCAATTCTTGAAGATCCTTAGCCTATCACTAGAATGCTTCCCTAACATATTGCAATATCACATAAAAGTGTGGTAACTTGGGGGTCAACTTACTGGCTCCGACTGATCGTACACATCACATCCTCTTTGATTATTCTGAAAACACTTTAATCATTTTTAAATCTTTATCCTTAGTTTGAGACTGGATTCACACGAGTATTCCTCCAATTCACTCAAACCAAGGCTATGATACCAACTTGTAACATCCTAAAAATTCAACAAAATTAAAACTTTTCAAAACAACCCTTTTAATACTAGAAGTGTTTACAAACCCATCGTTTTCAAAACATTATTAAAAATCAGAGTCTCCCAAGATTAAATCAGTTGAAACCAATGATGTGTACTGTCAAGCCTTCACCTAGCCACGGTCCACTAAAGTACCTCAAAACCATAAACCAAAAACTGTAAGCACGAAGCTTAGTGAGTTCCCCCAAAATACCACCACCCATACAGATAACATATACAAATAATAATGCTCAAATAATCATGATTGGCTCAATCAGCCTCGGGCTGGAATACCAAGCATGTCTACGATGGGCCCAATCATCCTCAAGGTGGAATACCCTTGTATCATAAGCATTTTGTCCCAATCAACCATCGGGTTGGAATACTAAACATGTCAGGTCCAATCAACCATCGTGTTGGAATACCACAAGCCTATTAACTGATGCACAAAATAGTTCAGTCTTACCATGTGGTTGGAATACCCCAGGACCAATCTGTTGGATTAGTGTCTAAGCTCGAAACTATATTTGGTATGAACTTGACCCGGTTGTGCATGGTCCTTTTGGGTTGCCTTCACCAAAGCAACTTAACAAGGTAATTTATGGAGAGAAAGGATATTATGATTTATTAATATATTATATGATTAATATATTAAAAGGGAAATCATATTATTTAATTAATATTAGTCATAAATTAATTAGGAATTAATTTGGTGGCTAAAAGAGATTAATTAAATATAAGGGCTTAAACCGTCAAATGTGTGATAGTTGGTTTTTGGGCTTGGGAAACCTAATGGATTAAAAGGTGAACGAAAATATGATGAAGGTCCATCATAATTTCATCCATAGGCCTTATTCCAGAAGGTTCCATGGGCTGCTTGGTGATTAAGCTATCCATTAGGGTTTTGACTGAAACCTTAGCAGCCTACAATATAAATAAACACCCCTACATGTAATTTTCAGCCACTTGATTCCAAAGGAAACCCTAGGGCCGATTTTAGCATCTTTCCCCTCTCTTATATTGCCTTCTTGCTAGTGTGGTGTTTGTAAGCTATTAGAGGAGTTACACTTGTGACTCTAAGCTCCAAGAAAAGGAAGATCCAAGATTTTTGAAGAGGTAAACATCTAGATCTGGTATATCTTGATATTTTCGAAATATGTATGCTAGATTAGGGTTTGTAAGTCTTGGATACAATGCATGTACAATAGAGAAACATAGATCCAAGCATTAGGGTTTGCATGAGTACATAGGAAAGTTCTTGGGTGCAAAACCCATCACTACTACCATTAGGCCAAAAGCGAAACACCATTTCGTGGGGAATTGTGAATGTCGAAATACTTCTTGGATATATAAGGATATCGGTTCTTTTACATGATATTTAATTATTTTGTATTTTAATACGATTGTTGTCAAACTGGCTCTTGAATAGTTATAGGGGTGGGGTAGGGTTGTATGAAATATGGTTGATTAATTTCTCAAAATGAGTAGATAGATAGTCATTAATTTGGAGCAAAGCATGAACATCTTTTTGTATTGTGGTTGAACGATATATTTACAAAATCTATTAAAAATGATTTCTGATTATTTTTTTTTAGCCTATGGAGTTTTACACCTAACAAATTCTTCTAAATGGTCCAATAATAAAAACATAAATACTATAAGACGTACGAAGGGAAAATGACTTAAAAGCCCAACGAAGTTTCCAAACCATTCAAAAAACCCCATTCATGTTTTATCTGTTCAAAAAAACCCAACGAACTTAACCTTTTGTCTAAAAAATCCAACAAAGTTTCCAACCGTTCAGAAAATTCCAATTTTGTTTTGTTTAAGTTCGTTGGGTTTTTTTTGAACAGTCAAAACATGATTGGAGTTTTTTAAACGTTTTGGAAACTTTATTGGTCTAACAAGTCATTTTTCCGATACGGTAATAAGCCACGTCATCTGTTTCTCTTATTTGACTTTCGAGAAAGTGTAACTTAGTTGGACTTTTTAGTTAAAATGTTAAGTTTGTTGAGTTTTTTTGAACAGACAAAACATTATTGGGGTTTTTTAAACGGTTTGGAAACTTCGTTGGGCTTTTAAGTCATTTTCCCGACGTACGAAATATGTTAGGTAAAACGTAGATTGTGAGTGTGGACCAATATAACACCAAAACATTTCACATGCTAATATTACCTACCTACGAAGCCATTGCCACGAAGAGGGGTGCGTTATTATAATGAACATGACAATGTGTGTTCACCACTATGTACTATGTGTTATCTCAATATTTTATATCATTATTAAAATTTAATAAATGAGAGTTGATTCGTTATTTGTACACAATACCATTTGTCATATACAACAATGATATATATATATATATATATATATATATATATATATATATATATATATATATATATATATATATATATATATATATATATATATATATATATATATATATATATATATATTACGTAGCTTCTTTAATAAATAAGCTATAAAGAGGCTAGCCCTTAATTCCAATATATGTTACCAAGTCAAACAATGGGTTTATTAATAGGTCCATGAAGTCGAGTCATTTCCATAATGAAACAGATTGTTTCTTCACAAACTCGTCTTTATGTTTTGTCCAAGAAAGATGGAAGAATTTCTCTTGAGGACAAAATTAAAAATTAAGTTAAATGGTAGGGAATTCTTTTGCATATGGCTAAATATATATAATCCTTAACCACTTCAACAAAACAACATTTGTGTTGTTTTCCCCCAATATTTCCCATGTGTCTAACACGAAATAAATATATAAATTGTACCCACATTGGCTACATCCGCATAATATATATTGGGTATAATAATAAATAAAGAGAGTGAATTGTCAATTGTTCATACTTGAAAGTTGAAAGCGTACATATAACTTTGCGATAAGATTACTCAATAGAAACCTCCAAAATCCCTAATTTACAAAAATCTCCTTTCATTTTTTACAAATGGTACAACACAAAAAAGTAAACACTACGCACAAACTTGTATATTTCACAAAGTATGAAAGGTAAGGGACTAATCTTGTACATTTTACAAAAATCAGGGACTAATGAAAAAGAAGTCACGAATAAGCCAATCGATGAACGCTACGATCTTTGAGAATTCCAGCGTAAAGAGCCATTCTATTGGCAGGCATAGTTATTTTCTTTTTACTCCCTTCATCTTTTAACAATGACGAAATAGTGCTCAACTTATTAAAATTCTTACTTTGAAGTCTCTTTCTAAACTCTTCTCCATTGCCACTTGGTTCCATCACATCTTCTGCAAAGTGAACCTTCTTTTTCTTTTTCACCCTCTTCTTCGTCCCACCTACACCAAATCAAAAAAAGGTCAAAAATCAAAATCAAGAAAAGAAAAAGTCAAACAGCCTAAGGAATTTTGACCAAATCAAAGTCAATACGATTTCAAGAAGAAAGAAACACGAACCTATGGAGATGCAGGGTCTTGGGTGGTTGATGATTGAGAATTTGGTGGCTCCGGCGACGGTGGTGGTGGGTTGTTTCTGGAAGCGGAAGGCGAGGAGGATGACGGTGCCGGAGACGGCGGCCATGGCCGTCGCTAAGACCATTCCGTTTGAAGCAAAGATTGATGACATGACAGGATTTTTAGGTGGTTTTTGCAGAATTTGGAAGATCGGAGAAATGGGTGTGAGAGAAATCGAAAAAAGAAAGAGAAAATGTGGGTTTTGATTAAAGAATTCGCGATGGAAGTTGGAAGTTTGAAGTGTAGAAGAATGTGTTAATGGTTGGTTTGTTGGTTCTGGAAAACGAGACTGAGTTTTTAAATAAACAGGGGGAAAATGTGGTTGGTTAGTTATTTCTTTAATAGTTTCGATATAAAAACACAACAATTTTATTTAAACTGATATATAAAATTATAAATTATACAGATAATTAAATTATTTTATGCCAGCTTTTATTACGAAACTATTTTTAAAATCAACATGTGTAAATTTATATCATTATATAACAAATTTGATTGTTTAAAACAAAATTCGGCTTATTAAGAACTCATCACAATATTATATCTATTAGACATGTAGTATTAAAGATTAATTTAGAGATAGTTATATATAGTTTGTATATTATTATATTCTCGTTTGAAAATTGTGTGTACAAATATATTCATTTGGTAGGCCCAATGATGAAGATGGGCAAACTGGAATGGGGCCCATTTTTTGGTAGGCCCAATTTTTTTTATACTATGTTGAAATCAGGCCTAATGTCCGAGTCCACATCGTTGACCAGCAAGCAAACATGACACGTACTGAGAATGCAAGAAGTCAAGCACGCATCGCAAGCCAAGAACGCATCACTGAAGACAGAAGACAGAAGACATAAGCGATTGTCAATTGATCATCATCAATTCAACATTCAACGACTTTATCATAATTTAGGTAAGGGTTTTTGTACTTTTACCCTCTCTATTAATTGATTACTAATCACTAAGCAGGCAAGGGATATCGAATC